GAGACCAGCCTGAGCAACAGCGAGACCCCGTCTCTACCAAAAATAGAAAGAAATTAATTGGGCAGCTAAAAATATATAGAAAAAAATTAGCCGGGCATGGTGGCGCATGCCTGTAGTCCCAGCTACTTGGGAGGCTAAGGCAGAAGGATTGCTTGAGCCCAGGAGTCTGAGGTTGCTGTGAGCTAGGCTGACGCCATGGCACTCACTCTAGCCAGGGCAACAAAGTGAGACTCTGTCTCAAAAAAAAGAAAAAAAAAGAGAAACAGTGCACAAGGAGGAATTATTTTTGGCTGTTGGGGGATCTGGGGCAAGGGGAGGAGAGCCATCAAGAAGAAAGGGAATCAGGAACAGCTTCACAGAATAAGCAGACTTTAGAAGAATGGAAACTAATAGCTGCTAAGACCTATACAACTACTTTCTCATTAAGTCATGAAATAACCCCATAGCATTCCCATTTTACAGCTCAGGAAACTAAGGCACAGGAAGGCTAAATGACTTGCTCAAGTTGTACAGATCCACCAAGATCTAATTTTTTTTTTTTTTTTTTGAGACAGAGTCTCACTCTGTTGCCGTGGTTAGAGTGCCGTGGCGTCAGCCTAGCTCACAGCAACCTCAAACTCCTGGGCTCAAGTGACTCTCCTGCCTCGGCCTCCTAAGTAGCTGGGATTCCAGGCGTAAGCCACGATGCCTGGCTAATTTTTCTATTTTTAGTAGAGACAGGGTCTTGCTCTTGCTCAGGCTGGTCTCTAATTCCTGACCTCAAGTGATCCTCCCGCCTCAGCCTCCCAGAGTGCTAGGATTACAGGCGTGAGCCACCGTGCCCTGGCCCACCAAGATCTGATTTTAAAGCCTATGCAAGTAGAAGCTCATCCTTGAAGGATGGGCAGGATTCTGTGTCTCCCCCTCCCTTTTCTTACTTGGGGGAAAAAAAAAAAAACAACCCACAGATACTATTTATTTTTATATAAAATGGATCATATTATAAGCCTTTCCTGTAACCTGCCCTTTCTTAGATTTAACATGTCTTAAACTCTTTCTAGATTGACATATCAGGATTCACCTCATTGCTGTGCCTGCTGAGTTTTCCATTAGTACGCGGATGTGCCATGGTGATGCTGTCCCCTTCTGATAAGCGTTGAGGTAATTGCCATTTTTGGCCATTATAACGTTGTAGTGAGTATCCTTGTACACACACTTTAAAATATTTTTGCATACATACCTATAGGGTAAATCTGCAGAAACGGAATTGCTCATTCCAAGGAGATATACATTTTACAATGGGACAAATATTGCCACTTTGAGGTGGGTAGGAAATCCAAAGGGGAGAGAGGGGCAAGCATTCTAGGGAGAAAGAGTAGGGTGACAAAGGCCGACAAAGGCTTACTGGTAGGAAAAATTTAGGGTTTTAGCTTAAGGATTGTCAATATTGCAGGAAGCCTTGAAGGACAAGTTTGACCTATTTATATTCACAGCACTAAGATAGGGCCTTATGCTCGCAGGCTGTTCAGCAACTATTGATGAACTATTATAATTGGGTGACAAGCGGTTGTTTCCTTTAGTTTCATCATCATTGTAAGAGCCATCTGCAAGGCATAGGATTCGCTGAGGCTGGAGTACAGGGGCTGAAGTCCGGCTGCCAATGCCCCAGCAGAAGATAGCTCAGCAGCTCAGCAGAGAGCAGACGCTCCGATAGTGTTTATATTCAACACCCATTATACGCCGCCAGGCACATTCAGATACATTTTATCACTTTAACACATCAAGAACAAACCTTTCCTTCTACCGCTTCTCCCCACACAGAACTTCTCACAAGCCCCACCCAGCTCTGAGCCCGGGCCACCGTGTCCTCCCCTCCTCGGCCTCCCTTTCTCAGCAAAGCCCTTCTTATCCACTGAGCTGCGGTTCCAGCAACAGCCTCTCGGTGAAGCCTTCTCAACTTCCCCAGGCAGCAGGCTGCTCCCTGCGCCAAGCAAGGACCCAGAGCCTTGTTCTGGCCTTAATCTGCTGATGGGTTTGTCTCCTCCAACCGGATGTAAGCTCCCAGCAAGCAGGGCCCTGGCTGCGCTTTGTAGTAACCAAGCCAAGTAATCAATGTTCAGTGAAGAAATCAGCTGCTCAGTAAGATGACCACATGGTTCACCTCAAATGCCCCCTCTCGCCACCCCCACACCCCACTCTGGAGCGACCTGTCCAAGCCATACCTCAGACGAGAACATGGTGGCACAGGTCCCGATGCACCAGCAGACCACGGGCTTGGTGATGCGGCCCTCCTTGACGCCCCGGCAAATCTTATATTCCTCAGTGCCCCCTATCTGCCAAGGAACAGGGAACGAGAAAAAGCCCTCAAGTTAGTGGAGCCCATATAGAGACACAAGGTGATTAGAAAATGAGGGGGCATGAGCTCTGGACAAATAACAGAAAGGGAGTGTAGTTTCAGCCTGGATGATTCAGACTGGATGTGAGAAGGAATTCTAAAGGGACAGCAGGTCTCCACTTCCTGATCTAACAGCAAAAGATCTATTATCAAATTCTTGGCACAGTGAAAAACAAACAAACAAAAAAACACCCCCAAAACAAAAGACAAACAAAAACAGCAGAAGGTGATTTAGCATCAGACCTGCATAGAGGTACGAGCAAGGGATGAGGTAACGAGACTCTCCTCAATTTTCAAAAATGCACTTTTACTCCAGCTGGCCATTGCCCACCAGGTGGAGATGCTGGCCAGCCAGAGCAGAGCTTCTCCCTTACTGGCACTAACATCTTGGGCCACTGGGAGATAACAACTCCTTTTCCAGGATCACACATGGCAGTGTTAACAGTGACAAGCTCCAGGCCCCAGAGTCCAGGGGGTGGGATTACCAGAGACTGTCACTTTAAGTTTTATATAACCAAAATGCATGAATTTTTAAAAAACTGAGATCACGCATTACTTTTACAATCATAATTTTTTTTTTTTTTTTTTTTTTAAGTAACTCACCTCTCCAAGAACCACAATCATTTTGACTCCTGGCGTGTCCTGGTAACGTAACACATGGTCCATGAATGTTGAGCCGGGGTACCTGTGGAGAGCAGGGGGACCATATAAAGCACACGTGCGGTAGTTTATAAATGTATCTGCAAGTTCTTTGAAAAAGGTAGAACCTGAAGCCTCTCCTCTTGAATATGGGTCAGAATGAATGATTAGGTTCTGATGAACAAAACGTGGCAGAAGCGACTCTATATGACACTGACTTCCAAGGCTGGGTTTTAAGAGTGGCACTCTGTCTCGAATGGCTCATCCTGGGGAACCAGCTGCCATGTCCTCAGGACACTCAAGCAGCCTGTGGAGAAGCCCACAGAGAAAAGCCAACTTGCTGGCCATGTGAATGAGCCACCTCCAGTGCCAGGCAAGTCGTCAACTAACCACAGCCCCACTGGCATCTAACTGCAGCCTCATGAGACACCCCCACCCCCACAGGCCAGAACTGTCCAATCGAGCCTCTCCTGAATCCTGACCCACAGAAACCTCGAGTTTTTTTACACAGCAATAAATAATTAATACAATATGCCAAGCTAAGTCCCAGGATGGCAGGTTGTTGCAAGAAGTTCTATACATTATTTCTACTGCCGTATCAGTTTGCAAAAGGATTGCTTAAGGCCAAGCAAGTTTCTCTAAGATCATCATGTGTCAAAAGACAAGCAGTCTAACAAGCAGCATTTCCTAGACTTATGTGGTCAGGGAGTACCCAGGGACCCGAGTTCCCCAGGCCATACCCCTGAAAACCTGGTGAGTCCTGGTAGAGCCAGGGAGAGAGACAAGGTGACTCGCTCTGCCAACAGCTTTTGGTTTCTCTACCCCAAAGTAATAGTAATGTAGTAATAGTAGTAATAATAATGAATAGTAATGACTAACCTTTATTTGGATTTACTAAGTGCCAGATATTACACTACAGATGACCTACTGATTGATCATAGTTCCCACTAACAAAAAAAATGAGGATAATATCATTAACTATAAATGAACACTTACTGAACACTAACAGCCAGGCTCTGTGTTAGACACTTTACACATATTACCTCCTTTAGTCCTCCCGTAGACCCCATGAGGCGGGGGCTAGTATTTTACCCATTGGATATGTAGGGATGATGGCGGTCAAGGGAGGTTAAGTAACCTGCCCATAAATAGGGAAACTGGGATTTGAACACCTTTGGTCCAATTTCAGAACTGGCCCTCTTAACAACTGTACTCTGCTGCCTCCCTATGGCCAACAAACAACAAAGTAACCCCCAAAGCTCAAACACCTTTTTATTTTTATTTATTTATTTAGGGATTGGGTCCCCCTCTGTCACCCAGGCTGGAATGCAGTGGCGTAATCATAGTTCATTGCAACCTCAAACCCCTGGTCTCAAGTGATCCTCTTCCCTCAGCCTCCTGAATAGACAGGACTACAGGCATATGCCACCACACGCCACTAATTTTTGTAGAGATGGGGTCTCACTATGTTGCTCAGGCTGGTCTCTAATTCCTGGCCTCAAGCGATCCTCCCACCTCGGTCTCCCAAAGTGGTAGGATTATACGTATGAGCCATGCAATGGGTCCCAAACACCTATTTAAAAACACATTTGCCCTTAGGCCGGGGTTGATGATAAAACAATCAAACAAACAAATAAAAACAAACAAAAAAACACATTTCCCTGCATTGTGTTTTCTGAGTTCATGCTCTGCTGGTCCAGAGACAAGAGTAAAATGCCCCATTTTATGGGCTTCAGCAACATTTAATATGGCAGCAAGGAGCCCACAGGACCTAAGATCCAGTCTCTCAATGTGGGAGGTCGCTCTTCGACTCCCTGCTGACTACCTGTCCCCGCCAATGGCCACGCCCTCATAGACGCCATCTGTGGTGCGAGAGATGATGTTGTTGAGCTCGTTGGACATGCCTCCGGAGCGGGACACGTAGGCCACGCTGCCTGGGCGGTACAGCTTGGAGGCCAGGATGTTGTCCAGCATCCCACCGGTATTCCCAATCTTAAAGCACCCAGGCTTGATGCCTCCAACCTGTGGGGCAGAAACATCAGTCAGGGAGGAAAGTGACTTCCTGGTTCACCACAGGGCTCAGAGGAATCATAAAGCCCCTGTGTTACCTGCCCAGCCCCTCTGGCCAGGTGTGGCAGACACTGGCCAAGAAAACCTACCCATTGAGTTACCTGCATAGAAAGAATCTCTTCTCTCTCTCTCTCAAAAGACATTACATAGGAAAAAAGAGAGCCTTATTTGTAAAACATGGCTCACTACTTATACAGGTAAGTATACTTAAAAAAGGTAAGGCCCTTTCCTTGCTCCAGAGGGGCTACAGCATCCAGCAAAGGCAACAGACCTGTGCCTCTCTGCTCAAAATGACTCCCTGCCTCCGAGACGAAAGGTCCCTTGCTTAGTTCAAAAATCCTAGCTTCGACTTTTTAATGCAATAGGTAAGAAAAAACAAACAACAAAAACATTCAGAGCTTATGGGTTTTACACGAAGACCTTTTGGTCAAAATCAAGGCCTCCAGGCAGCTTATTCTTTGGTTTATAGTTCAAGGAATAATCAAAGAATGTGCTACGGTTATATGAAGGTAGACAAACACTAAAGAAACCAAAAACCAAAACCAACTTCTCATTAGCCCCTTGAAACTATAAAGTGATACTGACC